CAGTTGTTCTGTACTGTTATTGTATGCATTGTATATAATATGAAATATCCATCAAATATGTTAGCCATTTTACTCAATGATAGATTAGATTGTATGATAAATGTCCCTTATGGAAAATGTTGGGAACTACTGGTTTAGAGCTTGCTTGTACAATTCACTTCGTAAATACTCATTAATAATCTTGAATACAATGTACAGACTGCTGTCAAACTGTGTAGAAAGCGAAAAAATAACAGACTCAAAGTTGATTAGGATGACATCCCTTTACATGTCCCCTCAACTCGAGCCCATTGTAGAGCTGTGTTAATGAAAGAAAATGGTAAAGTGGCAAAAACAGCCAATTAAAAAGCCAGCTGGGAGGTTTGGGGCTGTGTCCAGTTTGTGACAGTATGTGGAAAAGTGGGACGTCCAGACAAAGCCTTTTGACCCAGCCAATCACAGACTTGAGTGGAGTTTCAAAGAGGGCTGGCAGAGATAGCTGTGGGTTCATGTTGGTCTATGTGCTGTGTGGATGTTTTCTGTCCAGTGTTCAAGCTGTGGAGGTCATCACTGGAAACTTGCACATGTTAATGTTTGTACTGTGCTGTTTTGCTTCAATCTAGCTCAGCGCCTGTGTGGCTCACTGTCCAGCAGTGTAGGCGGCTATATTTACATAAAGTGGAGTTATTAAAGATTTCAGGTCAGACAGTATTGGCGCTCAGTGAGACAGTCATTCTGTGTGTGACTACACAAACAGCAAATGTTAAGAACCGAGATTGCAAGTGTGGTGATGAATGAAATGAAGGAGGCTCAACTGTGGGAACCAGCCCTTGTTTATAGGAAACCACATGCAAAATGAGTCCTCAGATCACGTCATTTAACAGAAATGGTTATTTATGGGAAATACGAATGCTAAGATATATTGCTCGACAGTTAAATCATGATACAAATATGTGAAGATTCAAATTAGTGAGATGAAAAATGAATTATGATATCAATTGTGGTATCAAGGTGCAATAAAGTTTTACTTCACAAAAGGAAATATGCATTGTTTTGTACATATCCTAAGATTCTCTAATTTGATCAAGAAAATATGAGAAAATGTTTTTCAGTTATAATTTCAATCTTCTAATCAATCTAATTCTAATTTTGTGATCGAGAGAAAATCATATTGCGAATTATATCGATTAGTGAGTTGAGTATAACTACGACTGCGAAGAAAGAGCTCCACCTACAGAAACAAGTCAGTATTGATCTGGTTGCACAGTGTGGAAAAAAGAGGCAACAAAGACAAAATAACAAAATAAAAGCATGAAATATCACACACTACCATTTTAAAAGGCATAAAAGACATTTTTGGAAATCCCCTTTCTTGCTTTCTTGTCGAGAGCTAGATAAAAAGATAGATACCACTCTCATATCTGTTTAATATGAAGCTGGAGCCAGCAGGAGACTAGCTTAGCTTAGCATAAAGACTCAAAACAGAGGAAAACTAGCCTGGCCAAAGGTAACACAATATGCATACACCTCTAAAGCTCACTAATTAAAATGTTATATCTTGTTTATTTAATGTGTAAACATAAAACGCTGTAGTTTTATTGGCGAGTTATTCGCCCAACTACTTCTTGGCCGGTTGCAGTAGCTTTCTCCAGACATAGTCTAACACATAACTCCACGTAAAACCACAAAATTACGTTTCTCTTTCGGTACAGATTAGGCAAACAAGATATAATGTGTTAATTAGTGAGCTTTAGCGGTGCTAATAGGCAGATTTAGTTTCATTTTGAAGAGCCAGGCTAGTTGTTTCCCCGTTTCCGGTCTCTATGCTAAGTTAAGCTAACCGGCCGCAGGCTTTAGCTTTATATTTAACGGACAAACGTGAGAGTGGTATCAATTTTCTCGTCTAACTATTGGCAAGTAAGAGAGTCCATTTATTTCAAACTATTCCTTTAACCTTAAACATTTTCTATCATCAATTTCGGATGACAGAGCAGTTTTTGACTTTGCGGTCCGGCTACAAAATGTAAACTCAGACAGGATGAAATTAAACTGCGTTTGAACTTGATGACACTGACAGTGACATGTTGCTGCTACCGTTTTAGTTTCTCCGCTGTGCAAATTTCCACAAACATTCAACCCCACAGAGAGGATTAAAACCAATGTCAGTACGGCTGATCTATATTGGTAGGTTTCCATTTCAACCCAGCATTCCTAAATCCACCAGCCTCCAGCTCCACTGCCGCTACAGCCAAACTGGGCCGTGCATCGCTAAATTGTTCCAGCACTGAGAAGATCTCTGGTACGATGATTGATACGGCACAGGGGTTGATTATTAAAGTATTAGTAAACCTAATCGGAGCAGTTTAGATCTTTTATCCTCTGAAGTAAGAGGAAAAATCGTAAACATGGCCTCAAACATTTATACATCTCATAATAGTGTTTATTAAAAGGGATAAATTAATTGTGTAAATTGGATTAAATTGTCCAAATTCTGTAAATTCTATAAGTAACTGGATATAATTGCTAACGATTAGTTGACTAATCTATAAATCCATTAACAGATAATGATTCCCCCAAAATTCTGATGATTGTGTAAATTATTTAGCAAAATTAGCAAAAAATGTTAAAACTTAACTTCTAATGTGAAGATTTTCCACTTTTCTTTCAAAATAAACTTAATATCTTTGTGTTTTGACAGTTTGTTGGACAAAACCAAGCTATTTGAAGTCTCTGGGAACTTCTGATGGTGAAATGATTGATTGGTTAATCAAGAAAATAAACAGCAGATTAATTGATAATGAAAACCACTGTTAATTGCTTCTTTAAAGCTAGAAAAAGAAACTACTGTTTAACATTGCCACCCAGATCCTGTGTGAGTGTTTGTGCTCCTGTCCAAACCACACAGTAGCCTGACTGATGCCTATCTGTCAAAGCATGAAAATTAAACATCCTCTTCTGAATGGCTTCCTTCCTCGGGCTCCTCTGGAATGGGACGGTGATCTGCACCCAGTTTGCCGTGGGAAACATCATCTGTTCTCTCTGCTCAGGGTCTCTAATGAACTCGCATGAAATGAAAGGTTTCCTTTTTGAAATTCAGCTCTGTTTTGGAGAAGAAAATACACCCTTAAATTTATCAGTCAACACTGCAAAAACACAGCATTTCATCCTCCAAACCACCACGATTTTGTAAACAAAGGTGACTCAAAAGTGACTCATGCTTTTTAATAGTGACCCACAACGCACGCCAGTGTTTCCCTTCAAATGGTGAAACCCTTTTAACCTCATCAAACCTTACACAGAAGCGGAGCTGAACACATCACGCAGATCTGGAGGACATGAAAGAAGAGTTTCAGGAAGTAATAACTACAGGCTAATTGTGTATTTGCATGCAACAGTCGTTTTTCTTCCTCGCTTGTTCTGAACAGCTTTCTTCCATAAAGCTTCTGCATTTGTCACCTGATCCACTGCAGATATGGTATGGTATATTTAGTTTTCTATTTCTATGGCTAATCTAATCAGTGTGTGTAGTTCATGTAAGTTGAATCAAACAGGCATGGGTGTGTGTTCCTACGCATATGTAATGGGAAGACACAGCTGGTTAGAATTAAAGGCCCCACCGACACACATTGAGAAAAAAAAAAAAAAAAGCAAACGGTCCGAAGCGAGATGAAAATACTGCTGTGGAGGGAGAGACTCTAAAAATACCAGGAAGAGCTGCAATTAGTGGTGTGTGTGCTGAGCAGCTGCTGTGGTTCAGGGCACTAAGTGTCTCTAATTACTGCTCTGTGTGTGTGTGTGTGTGTTTGCTGATATGAGCACGCCCAACCCATCAGGGGTGTCCTGTCCTTAGTATCTCTATTTGCCATTCATTCAGTGTGTGTGTGCGCCAAACCTCAGTGACCGAGCTGTTTCGTGTCCCTGTGGGGTTCCACAAGGACACACACGCACACACACACACACACACACTGCCCTGGTGTTTCGGTTTCATGTAAGGATTTGGTGAAGGACGGTGTGTGTTCGCCTCTCCGTTTATATATTGTTCTTAAACAGGATGTCCACATGGGGACGTGTTTTTCCACTCATTGCTTCTGTTGAGTATCAAAAGTTTGGCAGGGTCAAGCGGAGCATCACACGTTCTCCACGAGGTGCCCTTAAGCAAGGCACTTTCACCTTCATCTTGTTCAGTGGAGTGTGAGTCTGATGCTGGGTTTTGGCAAAAATGTGCGTACACGCCTCATAAATCTTCTCTGGGTAAATAAACTGCCGCACAGTACTGGTGCTCTGTAGGAAAATTTTATTTATTTATTTTCCACTCTGCAGGTTTCAGGACATAAAGTCATGTTTCATCTTCTATGAGAAAGTACAAACATTCCCAGTTTGTATCTAAAACTGTGCTGAGAGGTTAAAACATACTTCTTCTAAAATATTATGTATTGTTATAGATTAAAACAGTGTTTCCTAACCTTTGTCCTTATGGGAGCACATGTCTGTCATTGAGTAAACTGACAACCCCTGACTAAGTGACTAGAAAGACTAGTATTTTATGGATATGTCATATTATACTCAATGCATAACAATAAGAGTACAGAACAACTGATAAACTGTACAATGAATCCAAACAGTGAACACAATAAC